ATAACTTTATTCATATATAGAAAAAACAAAAATATGAAACCATCACAAGTCGTTACTGGAAAGCACAGGAAAACAGACTTCCTAATTTAAAGGCATAGCTTTAGACAAATTTAAAATAGTACCCTAGTGCCTGGGCAGCAAGATACAAAGGAAAAAAGTACCTAGTTTTTCATTTGAACAAGGACAACTCATACAAAAAGGAAACGAGGTTAAATTACAATCATAGAAGAAAAGTTAATGTATGAGTCTTTCCAAATATTTAGCTCTGTTCTGTAAAGTTTGTGTCTGAATATTTTGCTTTACCTCTCAGACAACTTTCATAAAAAGAGGAATATATCACACCCTCAATATTAATATTTATACAGAAGTCACTGTAGTCATAGATGGCACTACTGTACTAAATGGGAGTGGAATAAAAAGTATAAAAGGCTGGGGAGGGGGAGTAAAATATGTCTGTACAGTTGCCAAAGGGTTGTACATCCTTAATCCACCCAGCTGTGGGAGATATTTCTCTCTGAGCTGACAATACAGTAATCCAAGCCTCTGCAGGAACATAAAGATCAATACATTAGTCTTTCTGTCAGAGCCTGCACTTAACCCTAAATCAGTGGCAAAATTTGAACTGGCTGCAGTGCAAGCAAAATCAAGTTATTAATTTGCATTAGAGCTCTCTCTAACAGAGACATCCATTAAGAATGTACTTTCTGCACAGTACAGCAGTGATCGGATGATTCTTATTTTAAATTCAGCCCAATGAGGGGGGAAAACAGTGCTCTTCAGGAATGAGGGCTAGGGAAACTGTGGCTGAACACACTGCTTTGGGAGGGATGTGTACTGGGCATTTCTGAGTCATTACAAAGTAAAGGGCTATTTAGGGAGCTGTGAGCTGGATTTCACTGATCCCAGATGGCTCCAATGGCTGGAAAATCATTCTTGGGTGTGTATCACTCTCCAGAGAGGCAGGACTCTAGGGACTGAAGCCCCCATCAGAGCCTTTGGGAAGACCTACCCAGAGCTCCTTGTCAAGTAGATTTGTGTGTAATGAGTCATCCTGGGGAATTTCCTGTGCATTATCTCCCAGATTCAGGGCAGTTCATCTCAAACTTTAAGCAGAGATCTAGGTACTTGAGCAGGACTGCTCACCTGCTTAAAGTTAATCACATGCTTAGGCAGACAAGGTTCTTAAGTACTTGGCTGAGCTAAGGCCTGCATTCTTCCGCTGTAGGTCTACTCTGTAGTGAACATAGATGTTTTTGGTGTTCTGTGATACTTGAAGTAGGGGAAAGAGATGGAAATCTCTTTTGTGGAGAGTTCTGATTTTGCAGAAAGTTTTGTGTTTTGCTTTTTTATTTTAATTTTTCTTAGTCCCTTGCCCCCTCCCCAAAATAAACAACAAACAAACAAACTCATTTAAAGGGTGTTTGTACCCGAAAGCTTGCAAAGAAGAATTTTTCCAACTATTTTCATTGGTCTAATAAGAGATATTGGATTTACCCAAAAAACCTTGTCTGCCTTTGTTCACTGAAAAAACATGTCTTGAGATGTATAAATTTCTCTGACCAGGAGCAATTCTGCCACCTTGACTTCCAGTTTAGTAGTACCAAGTTCTGTCCTTAGTCATTGAGTATGCTCACACTGCACACTGCTGGGAGATAAGGAAAGCCTATGGTGGGCTGTGTGGTATAAAATGCTAATTTTGCTGCATGGAAAATGTAGTATGATGAGTGTGAGGCCCAGCTGGAAGACAACTAGTGAGGAGACAAGGCAGGAAGCATAGAGAAAGAAGTCCTACCAGTGACTTGGCTGTTGTGAGAGCTGGTGAGCAGGTGATTCTAAGGAGAAATTAAGGCAGAGTCAAGATATGGGATCAAGTTTGGGGAGATCCTTGTACAGTGCCATTGAAATCAATGTAACAGCACATGAAGTGTAAGGCATTAGGGTGTCAGAATCAGAGCCTTAGGTTTCATAGAGCCCCTATTGCTGTGATATCAACTGTGCATGAGTAAGGGTTGCAGACACAGCCTTATTTGCAGAACATCCAGCACAATTTTTATGAAATACAGCCAGGAATGTATTATTTGTCCAAATCATTGAACCTCCCCCCTACCCCCGCAATGTTTTGAATGGTTTCCATTGTTGGCCCAGCTCTCTTTAATACCTACTGATCAGGTGATAAAGGAACATGGGAAGGGAGGTCTGAGAAGAAAGTTTGTGTTTTTAAAATGTTACACCTTGAAATCTCAGTCTTTCCTTATGCTCATCAATTATAACGGGAGGAGATTCCCACTCCAGATCTCATCCAGCAGTGCACAAACAGTCCCATGGCTCTCCCTGTGCCTAGTTAAGCTCAGATATATGTTTCTTGATGAATCGGAGCCTGAAGACAACCAATAGACATTTCAGTGGGAGCAAAGATGTGGATTTTTTTCCAGGTTTATCATTCACAAGGGCAAAACCATAGCCAACATTCATATAATGTGTTTGAGAAAAGCCAGTTTACAGCTATTATCTTGATCCTATTAAAACGCTGTGTAATAGAATGCAAGATGCTGTTATGGAAATTGATATTTTATTCTTTTATGATAGGCTTGGAAATAAAGCAACACTTGTACAGATTTCCCTCGCTTTATGTGGTACATGTGTTCCTGGAAAAAGGCACATAAAGGGAACCCACTTTATAACGTAACAATAGGGATACGTTCCAAGACTTTGACTGTACTGACCCGCAGACCCATTTCTACCACTTTACAAGACAGTTTTGGTACTTGCCAATAGCAGACGGTACACACAAGCACAGGGTACTTTCATAATGGGGATGGCAATTACAAAAACACGTGTCACAGACAATGAGTGAGGAGCACAGATCCACACAGAAGACTATATTTTGGTGTGCGTCACTCCCACAACGCACTGTACAAAGCAGCTGACTCTGAGCTTCCACCACACCGATCGCATAAGAGTGAATTTACCTTACATATAACAATTTTTTGGTATAAAAACGGTCATTGCATAGGAGTGAATTTGTACATACAGAACCCACATAAAGTGTCTGTAGTCACTCTTCAAGAAAAGCTAAAGTCTCTGGTTTTGTTCTAAGAAGAGAGAAATGGGGGAGAGAAGTCGCAAACCTACACATATATATACTATATACTCTCTCTCTCTCTCTCTCTCATATAAAGAAGCACACTGCTGGGAGATAAGGGAAGCTTGCCTCTCTCTCTTGCTACATATAGTTTATTGTCTGTCTGCCTCTGTCTATCTGTCTAGTTTTGTTACTTTTCCTTTATTTATTTAAACAGTGCCTGGGCAACAATCATTTTGGATCTGTTCACCCCAAAATACTGACCCCACATTCCTTTATTCAGAATCTCTTACACACTCTTGATAGCAAAATTCCCATCAGGTTTTAGTAGTGTTTGGCTCCTCAGAGGGAGTGTTATTGCCTCCCAGACTTTTAACAGATTTGTGTTTTACTTGAAGTCCCAGCTTCTGGAATCAGGAGATTACATATTAGCTCTGCTTTCCCTTTATTTAAAAAACAAATATTTTTTTTTTCTACGAGATTGTGGAGAGAGAGCTTGAAAACAGGACCCAGGTGCACTTTCTAGTCTCAAAAACCAGATGACAAATAAAGTGAACCCTACATACATTGATTTTAATATATCTATATCTATCTATCTATCTATAGATATATTAAAAATACTTCTATAAGATATAAGAAAAATAATTCTTTAACATAATTCTTTAACATATCTATCTATCTATAATTCTTTAACGTATCTATCTATAGATAGATAGATACGTTAAAGAATTATTTTTCTTATAGAAAATTTCAAGACTCTAGAAAAGTAAGACAGGAATGATCATTAAGAGGAAATGACATATAGTGCCTAAAGCAACTTGTTTAGTTTCTGTAACTGACTGACTCTTTGGCTGTCACTGGTTAAAAGTCTCTGTGGAAATCACCCAAAAGCACAAAGGTAGCAGGTCCCTGGTTACAGCAACGCTGCTTAACAGCTGCTTCTGCTCCAGGAAATCACCTTCTCCTGCCCATTGCTACCTATGTACAGGCACAAAAATAACCTTTGGAGCTTTCTGCTGAAGCTTAGGGGTTTGATTTGGATTTCAGGACTAGAGGCAGCATGTTTGAGTGTGTAGAGGGTGGGGTGAGGGAAGAACAGATCCAAGCTGTTACTTTGAATCCTCTTTTTTCTCAAACTTCTGTCTCTGCATTAGAGTGTGGGTAGTGCCAT